TATTTAGTGACAAGCATTCCACTGAATTACGATAGCTATTTTATCAGACATTTTAATCATACATTGTTTCATATTTTCTAAAATTATTTCTGTTTTTTTACACTAACTACACTACACTACACTAATTACACTATTTTATCCCTCATTTTAATCATACATTGTTTCCAATTTTCTAAAGTTATTTCTATTACTAATATAACAATACCATCTTATGTACCTTTGCAGAATCCCTTTTTCCATTAAATTTTCACCCATTATCTCTAAATAGGCCCTGTTTCTCTGTATTTTGTTTCTGTCCTTTATTACTTCTTTTCCTTTCTTTCTTCCCTCTCATCTTTTCCCTCCCCCTTTTACCCCCTTGTCTCTCTATTTCTAATTCTCTCTTCTGCATTTCCCTCTTGTGTTGCTTTCTGATTTTATACTTATTTTTCACTCTACTTTTTTTGGAGTTGTTTTTCCCAATCTTAAACTTTCCACCCTCTTTCCCCCTTTCCTTTTTTCTCCCTATCTAAGATTACTTGTTCATTAAAGATGGCTTCTTCTTTGTCGCAATCTGCTTGTTCTACAGGCATTTCTTGTTGTTTCTCATAATTCCAAATCTGATGATTTTTGTGTGGACGTATGTTGAGACAAAAGTCAATCATGTTGTGGTCACTGTTGCAAAAGGGTTCTTTAATTTGTATTCTGTAAATTGAATTCAAACTATTGCAGAAGATGAGATTGAGGCAGTTGTTAAGTCTGGTATTGTTGATTGCTAGTTGTTCTAGTTGCAGATTTGTTACTGCATTGTAGAAGGTTGCATGTGTGGGTTCAGTTGTACATTTGTTAAGGGTCCAGTTTATATGAGGTAGATTGAAATCACCAAGAAAGATAAAAGCGTGTGGGCAGGATGCTGCCCATGTTAGTAGTGTATTTAGCTTGTTTGGATGTTCGATGTCATAATCAGGGGCTCTGTAACATAGTAAAAACCGAAATGTGATATTTAAGAACAGTTCACAGACGATGGTCTCAGGAATAGCAAGCTGCTGGGTAACTTGGATGTTTTTTAGATGTAGGGATATTTTATAGAAGATAGCAGCACCACCTCCTCTATGGATTTCACAATCTGATCAGTAAACATGATAGTCGTTTACTGTGGTAATGGAGTCAGGGAGAGATGCGTTGAGCCATGTTTCACAGACAAATATAATGTCGAATTTAGCCGTATTTAGTAAGAGGAGAAATTCAGGTATTTTATTTACAAGGCTTCTTGCATTGAGTAGCTTGCATTTAAGGCCAGTTGTTGTTGGAATAGAGGTAGTTGGGGGCGTGCATGCCTAGTTTTGGGTGATGTTGGATTGGATGGGGTGGGGTTGGATGCGGAGTGGGTTGTGTGACTTTCTTTTGATGCAGTCAGCTCTGTAGTCAATGTACAGGTCCTTTTCTCCATTGTCTAGACGGTTTTTGAGTTCTGCGCTTGTTGTTGTTGGACCTCTTGCTCTCTATCAACACTGATTGGGACTGGCCTTGGAGAAAGTAGCCAAATCAGTGCAGTACTGTGCCAGTAGACCTAAACCCCACAGCTAGCCCAAAAGGATACCATGATTGATGGTATCAAAAACCGCCAAGAGATCAAGGAGAGCAAGAGTGGATGCATGACCCTTATCTCACTCCCACCAGAGATCATCCACAAGCACAATCAATGCCATTTCTGTCCTGTAACCAGGCCTGAAACCCAGTGTCATCATTCCAAGTAATGGACTCTGGGAAGTGAGGACTCTGATACTTTGTTCAGGTTCAAGAGATCTTTTGCCTTCGGAAGTTGTGGAAGCTTCATTACTTGAGACTTTCAAGAAGAGATTGGACTGCCATTTGTCAAAAATGGTGTAGGGTCTCCAGCTTGGGAAGAGGGTTGGACTAAATGACCTACAAGATCCCTTCCAACTCTGGTAATCTATAATTTGTAATTTATTGAGTACATCATATCAGCACTTATAAAGGTGAAGCTAGTTCTAAATTATTCCCATGCTTAGGGATAGTTAAAAGAATAAGACCTCCTCACCCCCTTGTGTCTCTCAGGTTACATGAATCAATCAGTCCAGATGTAGCTTCCCAGTAAACCTCAACAGGTGTCCATTGACATAACCTTGATTCTCATGGTGGCTGGTGGATGTTATGGCTTGCCAGCTGAGGCACCCCATTCTTGAGTTCCCCCCATGCTCTCCCCCTCTCCCTTGAATGGCAATCAAGAAACGAAGCAGAAATAAATATGGCTTCAGCTGAAGTTGTTTTGCAGGCTGACACCCAGCTGAAGGATGTCCACATTATCTATTTCATCTAGGACCCTCTGGAGCTGCAGTGCAATAACTTTTTCTACCACCTTTCCTAAAAAAGTAGAGGTGATAAACTGGATGGGAAATTGTGCTGGCAGATGGGGCCTAATGATGGTTTCTTGAGGTGGGGGTGGATCAAGGCATCATTAAATGATGCCAGAAATACCCCTCCTGCAATGATGTAATCACTGCCTGGACTCACCTGCTGGTTGCTCTCTGAGGGCTTTTACCATCCAGAAGGGACAAGGATCTAATAAGGACAGCTGCAAAGAACCTATCTATTACCTCAGGTCCAATAGGGTCAAACTGTTCCTGGATAACTAGGCAAGTCTGTTCCCTGGGTATCTCTAATGGACCTGCTCCATGTGTGATCTCAAATTAAACAGATCTGAGCAATTTTATTAGATGCTTGACAACCCCATGAGTGTTTGTGTGAGCTTTCCTCCCCAAGGAGGGACCAGGGCCATCAGGCAACACTCTGTGGATGCAACAAGAATGGAGAAATAGTGGTGTTTCACTGCTCTTACCATCATCATGTAGGCTTTAATAGTGGCTGTGACTTATATCCAGTTGGTTTGTTCTGAGTTTTCTTCCAGTGGCACTCTAGCAGTCATTTGGGCTTTTTCAGCACCCTCAACTCTTCTGCAAACCACAAGGATTTTTGGGAGCATAGGGCCATGAGAGGGTGCATGGGCACAATCATTTCAGAATAACAGAGTTGGAAGGAACTTTGGAGGTCTTCTAGTCCAACCCCCTACTAAGGCAAGAAACCCTATACCAATTCAGACAAATGATTGTCCAATCTCTTCTTAAAAGAGGGCCTCTAGGCCTTGGCTGCTTTTTGATTCAAGATTGTGGCCAAAACCTCCCAGGGCTCCCATGGGAGATTTCCCCAGCTGCTGGAACCTAAGCAAGTCCACAAGGCCCAGTCTGTCTGCTATCTTGGATTCAAAATATATTCATTCTTTTTTTAAATCAAAGAAATGCACCACTCTAAAGTAGCAGTTGTTGAATAGTTTTTAATTTCAACCACGTCAATTTGAAACAACATCCGTATTTGAGATGCATGACAAAAAAAACCCAATGTTTCTCATATGAATTTGAAATTCTACTATTCAAAGAAAACCCTAACATGTAAGCATTTCTTACTTAGTTGATCACACTGGTATAGTTTGGCTCAGCATATGAAATTTTGATTCTATAAGTATAAACAATCAGATGTCAAACCTACCTGATTGAATTCCTACAGTAGAGTTGAGTCATATTCTTAGACTTAGCAGTTGTGTCATTTTAAATGAAACTTTGTTTTCAAGCTGTGTTGATATTTCTTTCCTGTCTATGTATGCTTTGAATTATTTTGAGTTTGAGGTTTTTTACACAGTAAACCCGGGACTCTGGAGCCAACAGCATTATCTCTGTAGATCGCTTAAAGTAAAGTCACAAAGATCTAGCAGTGATATTTGCTTTGGTTTCAAGCCATTGGAATGTTTTAAGGCACAAAGCACTAGGCAAGCAAAAGCACAGCTTCTGGAATTCTTTCTTTGTTTCATCACAAACAGTGCAGTGTGAACAAATAGCACTTGTAGAATTCTGGATAATCAAATAGTCTTCTCCTTGGAGTAGAAACTGCTTCAACTTTATTTTTAACCTAAAAGACAGTTTGTTCATTCATCTATGCCTATATTGTTCTATTTGAAGCAGATTCTTGGCTGTGGTTGCTGCTATGAACGCCAAATGACTGAAGAAATTTCAGGTGCCAGCAGATTTTTATAAAGAAACGTTAAGATAATTTTTAAAGTAAATAAATATATTCAGATTCAATTTTAGATGATTAATAGCACACTGAAATAAAAAAGTACCACAGCATCTGTGTTAGCCTGGGTAAAAATACTAAACTGCTAAATGTCACATACCAGTCAAAAATTGAGTTTTTATTAATTTCAAAAGAACCAACTATGAAATAATTTTATTGGAAGATTGTCATTTACAACAGATACTCAGAAAAGTAGATAAATATAGAAACATTTTGATAATTGCAGTGACAAAAGAAAAGTAAGATGGGTTAAAAATAGCAGGAGAAATTTTTGTCTAGGTTCTTGTCCCGTTTCCTCTGAGTTCCTGTTTTTGATTCATCAAAGCCTACCTTTGCTATTTAATGCCCAAATGCCCTCAAGTAGATTATATCCATGAGAGATGTCTAAGAAAGAGGACCCAAAAGCCAATGTGATAATCACAACCTTTATTAAAGGTAAATACTTACAGGAGTAAACATGTAATGTCCCTGTGACAGACAACGGATATGTATGCTGTATTCTCCCATGGCATGTCCATGGCAGAGGCTGGTTTGTAACACTTTTATAGCTATGTGCAAAATAAGGTTTGTGAAAAAGTAACTCATCAGCGAAATGCTCTTCCCATGAACTCCTCAGTTTTTCTGTACTTGGCACAACCACATTGTGGGTTCTCAGATATATTCTGCATCATGCTGGGTATTATTTTTATACTCTGCACTTGGCAATTATTAAACATGGCATTGGTTTGGTTCAAAGTATATATGTACACAGGTTGTTATAAAGGGCAGCAGCAGGAACTTTTAAAATTACAATTTCCTTATGTCTCTTAAAACTTTCTGGCCAGGTCTGCTGTTCCACAGAGATGTATCCAGATAGAAATATGCTGAAAGAGATATTTCTTATCAAGGCTTTTTATGTCATTTCCCCATCCTCACATTGAATACCTGGAATGCATGTTGTAGGAAAGATATTGCAGATTACTTTTTTCTTGTTTTAGAAAATATCCTAGTATGGCATGGATCAAAGTCAAATTCTACAGAGATGCTGAAAAATAGTGCCCTTGGTTCTTTAACAACAGCAAGCGCCAGTCTATCATTGTCAGTCATACCATCTGTGATACAAGATGAAACTATGGTAAGTCTTGTATGAATATAATTAAAACAGCATTTATAAACTATATTTGAAGGCTTTGCACATATTTTATATTTTGCACATATTTTATATTTATATTTTGGATACTGTCATACAGCAATTTGGTTTAGGTTCTTGTATCTAGGCATAATATGGTTGGTTTATTGGCAAATTAGAATATGCTGCTTGGGAGGATTGGACTAATCATATCAATGTCTAGTTTACATCTTGAAAGATTCCAAAATAACATTTTGATAAATTTATTTAATTACATAACAGCTTTCTAAAATACCTTCTTTGTTATTCTCTTCTGAAGCTTATATTTTAGGAAGATAGGAGACTATGTTTTAAAAAAGGATTTTTATTTTTAAATATACATCAGTATCACTATATAAACAGTGTGGCCTCTGAGTATAATTCATTTTCATACAAACAGCAGCAGCAGCAGCAGCAGCAGCAACAACAGCAACAACAACAACAACAACAACAACAATAATAATAATAATATAAAATAAGAATAAAAATTATAAATAAATAGTAAATAAATCAAAAGACTAATATTTCAGGGAGATTCACTATCACCACTTCTATTTGTCATTGCATTGTTCCTCTGTCAACAACACTGAATAACTCAGGCCATGGCTATCAAACATCAAAAACATCTGCCAGACTATTCCACCTCCTTTACATGGATGATCTGAAGCTGTATGGAAAAACACCATTTGAAATAGAATCGCTGCTCAACACTATTCGAATATATAGCCAAGATACTGCAATGGAGTTTGGATTGGACAACTGTGCCACACTCACTATCAAACAAGGAAAAATAGTGAAAACTGACTTCCGGTTTGAAGTTTCTTCGGCGACAGACAGAAATCCGTGATCGTGCGCGGTTTCTGTCTGGGCTCGCCGCTGGAGCGCCCCGAGCCAGCTGGTTTCGGGGCTAAGCCACCCCTTAGAGGTGGTGAAGAGGGGGGAGACCGCCAGCAGGGTCGAGGAGAGCCGCATCTCTCCTCCTCTGCTGGCCATTACTCCCTTTCCCAAAGGCAGTTGCAGCGGTGGTCAGAAATGGCCACCACAAAGAAGAACTTGACTGGAAAAGAATGTGCAGGAGGAAGATAAGAGGTGAAAGTTTTGGCTGACTGGGTTAAATTGTAAAAGCAACAAATAGGGTACCCTAGAATTTAAACTTACAAAAAATAACATCGTTCCCAAAGAAGAGTCGGAAGCAGTGAAGGAAAGTGAAAAGGGAAAGGTTTGGCTTTTTTTTCTTCTCTCTCCTTCCCTATACTGACAACTAAGAGACTTAAATAAGAAATCAGAAAAATCCGCTTTGACATCAATAGGCAATTAAGCTGAAAATAAAACAAAATGCCAAAGGGATAATAAAGATTTCTGGACATTAAAAATTTTCTTTTTCATAAGCAGGAAGGGAGAGAAAAAGAATAAGGATCTGGAAGAGGGAGGAGACTGCCTGGAATTAAAAAGAATCTACAGTAAAACTTCAACAAGACTTCTAAAAGATACGTTTTAACTGAAACTTTGTAACTAAATAGTAACCCCAGGAAGAGAAAGTGAAAAAAAAGAACAAAAAGAAACAGCTTGCATGTATTTGGATTATTTGGTGATCTTTGGATTCTTGGTTATTATATTTGAATGACTAAAATCAATTGGGTGGTTGTTTAAAGATTTATACAATGTCACCACTTCTGGATGAATTGAAAATGGAACTTAAAAAGTACAAAGAAGATGCACAAGAAGGGAAGGGTTCTTTTGGCTTCGTTTTTCAATTCTTAGAAATGGAGATTTGGAACTATGAGAAACAACAAGAAACGACTGCAAAGCAAGAAGACTGGGACAAAGAAGAAGCCATCTTTAATGAACAAGCAATTTTATGTGGGGAAGATAAAGGAAAGGGGGGGGGAAGAGAATGGAGAATTTAAGACTTAAAAAAACAACCAAAGAAAAAATAATAATTCAAAAAATAAGTATAATACTGGAAAGCAACAGAAAAGGGGAATACAGAAGAGAGAAATAGAGGTAGAGAGACAAGGGGGTAAAAAGGGGAGAGAGAAGAAGAGAGGGAAGAAGGAAAGGAAAAGACGTTACAAAGGACCGGAGCAAGATATAGAAAAACAGGACCTATTTAGAGATAATGGATGAAAATCTAACTGAAAAAGGGATTCTGTAAAGGTACATAAGATTGTATTGTTATATTAGTAATAGAAATAACTTTAGAAAATTGGAAACAACGTATGATTAAAATGAGGGATAAAATAGTGTAATTTAGTGAAATGTTTGTGAATAAAATAAGTGAAATAAAATAAAATAAAATGAATTAGGAAGGAATGGGAACATTTTAATTAGTTAATGTTTTATAAAATATAAGTGAAGGGGGGGGAATTAACTATTGAAAGCTTCTAATTGTTCCCATAGAAGTATGATATTTAATTGAAAAGTAATGTTAAAGATGTTAAGACTTTAATGAATATTAATATTAATGATAGAATTGAATTGGAATGGAATGTTGTTTTAATTATATACATTTATATTTTTTTCTTTTTTTAAGAATACAGTGTGTATTTTAAGAATGTACCAAGCAGAATCCGAATGGAAGTTATGTATTATATTGAATGTTATAACTTTAGGGAAAAGATATAAAGGCGTCATACTCCAATCAGTAACTAGAGGAGAAATTTTGTTTAATGAGAAAAGATAATAGATAATTGAAACAGGACAGACAAAAAATATAAATACAATGATTTGAATTGAGATGAGATAATTAAAATAAAATTGAGAAAATTAAAAGAGGGGAGAAGCTATGTAGAAAATGTAAAATAGTAATAAGATATGGAATAGCATATAAAAATGAGCATGAACCTGAATTTGTGTCTGTACGAAGAAATGTAACCTGGGATTACGCGACTTTCAAAAAAGATGTTTTATTTGTATTTTTTTTTCTCTTTGTGAAATCTCAAATAAAATTTACAAAATAAAAAGAAAAATAGTGAAAACTGAAGAAATCAAGATGCTCCATGAAAATAACATTAAGAGTCTGGATGAAGATGATTACTACAAATACCTGGGTATCTTTCAAGCTGACAACATCAAGCATACTGAAGTCAAGAAAAAAATAGAGATGACTACATCAAAAGGGTGAAAAAGATCTTAAAGTCCAAACTCAATGGAGAAAATACCTTCAAGGCAATCAACACCTGGGCAATACCAGTCATTAGATACATAGCTGGAATAGTGAACTGGATTCAAACAGAATTAAAAACAACGGATAGGAAGACCAGAAAAATAATGACAATGAATCATGTTCTTCATCCTCACAGCGACATTGACAGACTTTACCTACCAAGGCAAATAGGTGGGCGTGGAATGTTGCAAGTACATCAGATAGTTGAAGAAGAAAAAGGGGCTTTGGAAGATATCTTTGGAAGGACAGTGAAGAAGATGCACTTCTTCATTAGTATGTCTTCATTAACTGAAGTTAATATGCCAGGAAGGCTTGCTGGCTACCGGAGAGACCAAATTGGCCTACAAGAAAGATCAAATGAAGAACAGAACGGAGGCATGGGAAGACAAAGCACTACATGACCAGTACATTAAAAAATAGCAGGGAAAGCAGATAATAACAAAACCTGGCAATGGCTAAGAGCAGGAAAGTTAAAGAAAGACACCCAGGGATTAATTCTGACTGCGCAAAACCAAGCCTTAAGAACAAATGTATACAAAGCCAGAATTGAGAAGACAGGAACAGACAGTAAGTGCCATCTATCCAAAGAACCTGAAGAAATAGTGGACCACCTGATAAGCTGCTGCAAGAAGATTGCACAAACTGACTACAAGCAGTGGCATGACAAAGTAGCAACAATGGTGCATTGGAAGATCTACAAGAAATATAATTTGCCTGTAAGCAAGAACTGGTGGGATCATAAAATAGAAATAGTCATAGAAAATGAAAAAATTAAATTGCTCTGGGACTTCAGAATCCAGACAGACAGGCACATGCCACATAACACCCAGACTTAACAGTTGTCAATAAGAAAGACAAAAAAGTCTGGACATGGATGTGGCAGTGCTTAGAGACAGCAAAATAGAAGAGAAAGAACTGGAGAAGATAACAAAATACAAAAACCTACAAATAGAAATAGAACGATTATGGCAAAGGCAAGCAAGGATAGTACCAATAGTAATAGGTACCTTGGATGCAGTCCCAAAATAATTGGAGCACCACTTGAAAACCATAGGCACTGACAAATTTGCCATCAGTCAATTGTAGAAGGTAGCTTTACTTGGAACAGCTTCCATCCTGCGGCAATATCTGTAACACCATCAAACATCCAGATGTGCCTATCCCAGGTCCTTAGTAAGGACTTGATAGGTAGACAAAAATGCCAGTCTGAACATCTGGCTGACTCTGCCATTAATAATAATAATAATAATAATAATAATAATAATAATAATAATAATAATAATGATAATAATAATAATAATAATATAATAATAATAATAATAAT